CTGAGATCTGGGTTCGATTCCCGGTTAGGACACTCCCCGGGCAGATGGAGCTCGCTAGCCCTGTAAGGCAATCCATCTACGTCCTGAGGACCTCGCTGCCACCGTCCAAGAGTGCTTGGCCCCGGCAGATGAACCTCAGGATTAAAGGGTGGGCTCAGTTCCGCGCACACTGTGTCTCACCTAAAAAATCCAATGCGCAGGCTGGAAGGTGGAAAGACCTTCCCCGGTTCTTCGTTCGCGAAGAGACTGGCCATTATTTCAGTTGTTACATTCCAGGACTTCCTTAAGAAGACAAGAAGAAAATCCAAAGGAAACTTAGCATCGTAGCTCCCCAAATCTTAAGAAAACCTAAAGGAAACTTTTCGCTTCCCAAATCTTAAGACAACCCAAAGGAAGCATAAGAACAAAGCTCCCAAATCTTCAAGTCAAAACAAACAAGTTTTGGCCAAATGCAATATAATACAAACCAAGAAGGTTTCCCTTCTCATAAACCTGTGAGACGATGTCCCATCTCCCTCTTAAGAGGTAAATTCAATGAAATTAAACAAAAAGCAAATATAAATACCTTTTTATGTTGAGCTGAAGTCCTTGTCCACCTGTGTGAGAAGCCGAGGGGTTGGGGAGTTTCGCCGATGGAAGATCCAGTCGGGGGCCCCTGAGGGTCCCCAGGCCCCCTGGATTCCAGCACCAGTGGAGTTAACTGCTGCTGGTTCGCCAGGAATGATGCAAAAACAGCACAGAATTAAGTGCTCAAGAGACAAATTTTGTCTTTAAGTGGCAAGTATTTATTCTGAGCACCGTTGGGGATGCTGGCCAACTCACATTTGGCAAACTAACTCCCGAGTTTCCAGTGAAAAGTCAGGTAATTTAGACAGTTTTCATGAGAGGTTACAACATCTTTATGTACATATTCATATGATTGCAACATCTAACCATGCATAGTGATACTAGGTGGGGTTTAGGTGGAGCTTGAAGAGGAGTCTTCTAGAATCATCTTTTTGGAGAAGGAGTGAGTTAAGTGGTCACTCCTGTTCTTTGACCTCATCTTGGGGGTCTTTTGCTCTTCTTCCTCATGTGAACTTTTCAACTTACTTTGTTTAATGACCTAGTTTCTGGAGTTTGCAAAATCTCATGATCTATGGCCTTCTTATCCCCCTCAAATGCCTACCTTATCTTTATTCATGGCTGCTGGGCTGCTCAAAGAACATCCCTTCTATCTCTTACTTCAGTACAGTCAGCAGAACAGAACAAGCTGTCTCTGTTATATTTCAACATGACCAGAGCATCTTTGACAGTAGGTGGTACCAAACTCCATCTTAGTTAATCCTTAAAAACCCTGCTCTGTTTCATGTACAGGAGCATGGCGGGCTTGCAGGCGGCAACTCGGAGGAGAGCACAGGACAAAGGATTTTTTGTATTGATGGGTGGTTGAATGGAGAGAGTTTTAGTGCCTGGACCAAGCAAGTGGTCAAGCTGGGCATTTACTGCCTGCCAGTGCTCGTCCAGAAAACAAAAAGGGGGAACTGTGGGAAAGGGCTGGGGGAACTGTGGGAAAGGGCTGGGCTGTGGGCAGCTTAGGCCTTGAATTCCAGCAGTTACAGCTGTGAGCTTGTAAAGGAATGTAAACATCCAGAATGAGAAAGCAGAAGAGGAAAAACTGCAGTAAGTAACAGGTGTTGTTCTGAGATGTGCCGGCAGGCGCAAAGACACTGAGCACCTCTCAGAAGATGAGCTGAAGCATGTCCAGAGGCACAGAGCCAATGAAGAATAACTTGTGTGGCGTGGACAGGGGAAAAGCCTAGAAAAGATCTCTGGTTGTTGTTAATAAAGATCATTGCCTGCCAACAGTCTGAGTGTTCTTCTTTGTAGTCTGCTGCAAGTGCCACCCCCAGGACACGGGTGACACCCTGGAGACAGGGGTGACATCACTGGGAAGCAGTGATATCACAAGGGCACCAGGTGACACCCCTGGGGACAGCGGTGACATCAAAGGACACTGGTGCCATCAAAGGGATATCAGTGACATCACTGGAGACCAGTGACATCACAGGGGACAGCAGTGACATCACTGGGACTGGTGCCATCCCTGGGGACAGTGACATAACAGGGACAGCAGTGACATTACAGGGGACTGGTGACATCATAGGGACAGCAGTGACATCAAAGAGACATCAGTGATGTCACTGGAGACCTCTGACATCACCAGGACCAGTGACATGACTGGGGACATCGCTGACATCACAAGTACATGGTGTCACCCTGGGGACAGATGTGACATCAGAGTGACAGCAGTGACATCACTGGGGACCAGTGATATGGCTGGGGAGAGCGGTGACATCATTGTGGACACAGGGAGCACCCCTGAGGACAGCAGTGACATCACAGGGGACAGTGGTGACATAATTGAAGACATTTGTGACATCGCAGTGGATATTGGTGACATCACTGGAGATGTTGGTGACATCACAGGTGACAGGTGACATCACAGGGATTGGTGACATCATCGGCAGCCCAATGGCATCACTGGGGACAGCGGTGCCATCGAAGGGACAGAAGTGACACCACTGGGGACACTGATGACACCCCTGGGGAGAGTGGTGATGTCACAGGGACATCAGTGACATCAAATGGACAGTGGTGATGTCACAGGGACAGAAGTGACATCACTGGGGACAATGGTGACATCACAGGGACAGTAGTGACATCCCTGGAGACCAGTGGCATCACAGGGCACTGGTGACATAATAGGGACACTGGTGACATCACAGGGACACTGGTGACATTCCTGGAGACCAGTGGCATCACAGGGCACTGGTGACATCATAGGGACATTGGTAACATCATTGGAGACCAGTGACATCACAGGGGACTGGTGACAAAAAAGGACAGCCCTGATGTCACAGGGAAATCAGTGACATCATGGGGACATGGAGCCACTGCTGGGAAAAGTGGTGACATCACAGAGACAGTAGTGACATCATTGGGGACCACTGATGTCCCAGGAGACTGATGACAACAAAGAGACAGCCATGATGTCACAAGGACCTCACTGGCATCGGTGACATGACGGGGACATTGTGCCATGACTCAACACAGTGGTGACATCACAGAGACAGTAGGACATCACTGGGGACATTGTTGACATCACAAGGGACAGTGATAACACCAGAGACACCAGTGACATTAACAGGGACATCTCTGACATCATAGGGGACATTGATGACTTCACAAGGCCAGAGGTGACATCACAGAGACACCAGAGACATTATTGGTGTCACTGGTGACATCACAGGGGACAGTGGTGACATCAGAGGGACATGGGTGACATCACTGGGGTCACAGGGACCACCCCTGGGGACATCAGGGACATCACAAGGCACAGTGGTGACATCTGCAGAGACAGCAGTGACATCACTGGAGACCAATGACATCACAGGGACATCGGTGACATCACAGGGACATTGGTGACATCAAAGGGACAGTGGTGACATCATAGGGACAGCGGTGACATCATTGGGGACACTGGTGACATCACAGGGACATCAGTGACATCACAGGGGTCTGGTGACATCATAGGGACATCAGTGCCATGATGGGGACATGGTGCTACCACTTGGGACAGCAGTGACATCACAGGAACAGCAGTGACATTTTGGGGACACAGGGAACACCCTTGGGGACAGCAGTGACATCACATGGTGCAGTGGTGACATCCACGGAGACAGCAGTGACATCATTGGAGACCAATGACATCACAGGGTTAGCAGTGACATCTAAGGGGCAACAGTGACATCACAGGGACATTAGTGACATCAAAGGACATCAGTGCACCTCTGGGAACATCGGTGACATCACAGAGGACCAGTGATGACATTGAGGATGGCGATGACATCACAGGGAAAGCAGCAACATCAAAGGGACAGCAATGAGGTCACGGGGACAGCAGTGACATCATTGGGGACATTGGTGACATCTCATGGGACAGCAGTGACATCACTGGAGACCAGTGACATCACTGGGGACAGTGGTGATATGACAGGGACAGCAGTGATATCACTGGGGATGTCAGTGAGATCAGAGGGACAGCAGTGACATCATTGGAGACACTGGGGACACCCCTGGAGACACCAGTGACATCACAGGGATATTAGTGACATCATTGGGGACAGTGATGACATCACAGGGACACCAGCTACATCATTGGGGACCAGTGACATCTCTGGGGATAGCGGTGACATCACAGGGGACAGTGGTGACATCATTGGTGACACAGGGACCATCCCTGTGGAAACAGCAGTGACATCACAGGGACAGTGGTGACATCTATGGGGACAGCAGTGATACCACTGGAGACCAGTGACATCACAGCTGTCTGGTGACATCACAGGGACTGCGATGACATCAACTGGACAGCTGTGACATCACTGGGAACACCAGTGACATCAGAGGGACAGTGGTGACATCACTGGGGATGTTGGGGATGTTTGGGGGCCTTTGGGAGGGCACCTGCCTGTGGAGTTTTCGTGTGAGCACAGACAACTCAACACACCAATGTGATGATCAGAGAGCGCTGTTTATTGGAATCAAGCAGCAGTCTTTTATACAGTTTTCTAACAATAGTCTTCTATGAGTTCTATTTCTTTGTCCCAGTTTAAATGAGACACAGGTGTTTTGCTGAGGATGAGTTATGAGAAAAGACCCAAACTCCTCCCTCTAGGCAATTATAAATCCGAAATTAGGAGGCTCTGACTGAAGGGAAAAAAATTATGGAAAAGGAAAAATAACAGCCCTTTATTAAAGGTATGTGTATATTGGCAGAAACAGCGGAAAAAAAACCAAGTAAAACAACCAAAGTATACTCTTATACCCACAAATAATCCGCTTTAAAACAAACCACTAAACAAGCAAAGGAAAAAAAAGTAAACAGTTCACTCGTGGCCTTTGGTGCAATTACAACCACAGTCAAACTCAGTCTCTCCGCTTCTCTCTCGTAAGAAACTTCATCTTAAACATCACGTTCCCTACGCTCATTTCAAAAGCCCTCCCGGCAATTCCCAAGAATTGAGAAGCCTGTCAATCCACCCTTCAAAAGCACGTCCCTTCAGCTACCTCAGGGCTTCCTGTAGTCCCTGGGTTCTTCTCGTTGTCAGCTCCAAGAAAGGAAACCAAAATCAGTGCAGGACTTGAGCAGGACATCGACCAAACCCCAACCATTCCCACACTCACCCTCTCCTAAGTGCACCCAAGTCCTCGTGTCACTGCCTCCAGCAAGAGGTGCAGCTTGAACCTCCCACTGCATGGCACACCTGCAACAGGGAGCAAAAGCTTCTAGTGGCATTTCTGACACTTCCCTGGGCCCCTGCTCCTCCTCGCTACCTCCCCGACTCACCTGGGACGCTCATTTCTTTCCAAAGGTTACCGGGCTGGCACCTCCAAAGAGAAGAGGGCAATGCTTAAATGCCCAGCCCTCAACTACCCTGCCATTGCCCACAAGGCCAGCGGAAGAGCACCTGACCTTGTCGCTCGGCTCCTCAGCCTGTGGTCTGCTCCTCTGGCAATACGGATGGGCACTGCAAAGAAATCACAGAGGCAGAAGCAAATAGAGACGGATCCCCTCAGAGTGCAACATTCCCCTCTCAGGTTCCTTTACACTCACCTCTTAAGGGCCTCCTTCCCATTCTGCTGAAGCTTGTCAGGTTGTGCACAACCAGTAAAAAAAGCAAATGACAAAGGATGTGCTTAGATTCACCAACATTAAACCTACCAGAAGTACTGTCTGATTGTTACCAGCAAGAAAATGCTCACCTTGCTCTGAATTACAGACGCTATTCAGCATCTTATCTCTGTCTACAAGCTCCAGAAGCTTCTTGACCTCTGAGAAGCATCATCTGCCAGAACTGCAAGAACGGATGCACAAGGATCTTACGTGGGGGAGATTCTACGCTCTGCCCTGCACACCCTCGTGTTGGGGACAAAACTCAGCCTTCCTCTTTCCTCTCCTATGGGACTTGTTCTTAAAGATCTCCCAGCAATTTCCAAGCCTGTACCTGGCTCTCATGCCCTCTCTGGCTCAGAACCCTCGACCTATCTTGCAGAGAGCTGTCAATCCACTTTCCAAAAAGCATGCCCTTTGGGCTGGCTCAGAGGTTCCCGCAGTCACACCAGGCCCTGTCCAAGGCCCTCCCAATAGGGGCTGGGCCGTGGAAGCAGGGGGAGAGCCCACCCTGGGTGTGGCCACTCTTCCCCAGCCCTGTCTGGCCCAGCTTCCTTACCCCTGTACATTCGCCACTGGACAGCCTGCACTGGGGCAGCATTTACTTCTTGGGCCCTTCAGAGCTGCCCCCACAGGGACACTTCTATTTTATGTGCCAGCACCAGAGCCAGCCCAGCCAGTCCTGCCCCTCGTCCCCAGCCCGGCTCACTGACTCCAATTGCCCCTGGAACCCAAGAGCCAAAGGCGACACGCCCAGAGTGCAGCCCCACCCTCTGCAATGGGGCCCCAGGGGTTCCCTTTGCCAAGCAGCCCCTGCAAACCCTTGTCAGAGAGAAAATGGGGTGACTGAGTCCTGGATGCTTTTAGTGAAGAGCTCAAAACATTTCTTGAATAATGGAGAGGGGTGACTTTTTTATTCTTGACATTTCCAGTTCTCCATCTGGGGGCAGGATGTCCTCTAGGCTGATGTTTTATTCCCTTTGCAGTGAGTGGAGCCTCAGAGGGCTGAGCCCTCTCTGGCTGGGCTTGGCCTGTCCTGGAGAGCCTCAGGCCTGGCTTGGCTTCCCCAGGCAGACGCTGCAGGAAGAAGAGCCCAGGCCGCCTGTGTCTGGTGTCCCTGGGGCTCAGCCTGACCCCATTCCTGCCCAGGGGCTGAGCCCACCTCTGCCTCGGGGTCTTGGGCAAAGGGCTGGCAAGGGAGAGGCCCAGGAGCCTTGGGGCCTGCCCAGCTTTCCTCCTCCCTGGGGGTTCCCAGTCCTCTCCTGACACCCTGATGGCCCCAGGCCTTGCCGGCTCCATCCCACTGTCCTGATCCCCCTCCTTGCCCTCTCTCCAGCTGCTCCTGCCTTTTATGGCAAGGCACCACCCAAAGGAAAACCCCGCTTATCAGCAATGGCACCTGTGAGATGGCTGCAAGGCTTGAGTGTGCCAGGCCAGAGCAGGAGCACAGAGAGCCTGAGGAGCCAGGAGATGCCCTGGCTGGGCATCGTGCTGCTGTGGGACGAGCTGACCCCTCTGCACAGTCTGTGCCGTCCCTGCCAGCCAAGTTCTGCCCGGGCTCTGTGCACGGGGACGGAGCGCTGACAGTTTTCAGCCTCCGCACTGTTCCACAAAGGCTGGGATGGCACAGAGCCCTTGCCTGGCACCCAGGAGATAGGCAAGGCAACTCAAGGACGGAGCCTCTGAGCCACCAGCACTCTGTCCCCAAAGGCTGGGATGGCACAGAAGCCCAGAATCCATGAGGTTGGCAGAGACTTCAGAGATCAACAGGCATCCAGCCTACTCATCCCCAGCATGTCAAGCAGACCACGGCACTAAGTTTGCCATGTCTAGTCTTTCCTTAAATACCTCCAGGCATGGTGACTCCACCACCTCCTTGGGCAGCCCATTTCAATACCTAATCCCTGTTTCTGTCAAAAATTCCTGCTCCTGTCCCTGAGAATCATCTCCTGACAGGCAGGTACTCATGTCCTCTTGTCCAATCACCTGTTGCCTCGCAGAAGAGGCTGACCCCACCTGGTTCCACCCTCCTGTCAGGAAGGTTTGGACAGTGAGAAGGTCAGCCCTGAGTCTCCTCCAAGTTTGAGAACCTCAGCTGCCTCAGTTGCTCATCATAGGACATGCACTCCAGACCCTTGCCCAGCTCCATTGCCCTGCTCTCAACAAACTCCAGCCCCTCAATGTTCTTCATGAATTGAGGGGCCCAGAACCAGACACAGCACACCAGGTGGGGCCTCACCAGTACTCAGTCCAGCGGAAGAATCACTCTCCTGCTCCTGCTGCCCACACTATTTCAGATACAGTTCCAAAAGGACATCAGAAGAGCACTTGACCTTGTCGCTCGGCTCCCCGGCCTGTGGCTCTGCTCCTCTGAGAATACGGATGGCCACTGCAAAGAAATCACAGAGGCAAAGGCACCAGGTGTGGCCTCAGCAGTGCCCAGTCCAGCAGTGCCCAGTCCAGCAGTGCCCTGCTCCTGCTGGCCCCACTATTTCTGATCCAGGCCAGGATGCCGTTGGCCTTCTTGCCCACCTGGGCACCCGCTGGTTCAGGTTCAACCTCTGTCGACCAGCACCCCCAGGGCCTTTCCCACACTTTGCAGCTACTCTGCCCCCAGCCTGGAGCTGCAGGGGGTTATTGTGGCCAGAGGCACCAAAGGCACCAAAGGCACTCTTGAACCTCATGCCCATGGTCTCAGCCCAGAGATCCAGCCTGTCCAGGTCCCTCTGCACAGCCTTTCTACCCTCCAGCACATCGGCACTGCAACCCCACTTGGAGTCATCTGCCAATCTGCTCATGGAAGACTCAATGGCCTCATGCAGATCTCCACGAAAAATATGAAACAGGACCGGGTCTGTTACCCAGCAAGTTCTATTTCTTGACAAAGGAGCCCACGCAGCAGTGGGGAGAAATTGTTGGCAGGAGATTGAATCGGTGAAATAGACAATGGATGATGGACCAGGTCTGGGGCCATTGTTTGTTAGAAAAACAAATTGAAAGTGTAAGGCCTGTCATACTTCAGTCGTCATAGACCTGAGAGAGAAATCTATTTTTGAGACCAGGACATCAAGAATGCAGAATTTCTAAGCCATAAAAACACAGAAACCACAGATGAAGACAAAACTAACACAGACAATTACTGAGACTCTTCCTATCTTGGGAAAAGATAAGAAAAGGACAAAAATTGTGGACTAAGTATCATGCAAAGTGAGAAATCAATATCCAAGAGAAGAGAGAATAAGAATTAATGCAGAGAGTTACAGAACTTGTAAGGCAATGGACATTAATTCCTTTGTTTGCTAAAATGTATAAATAGTTCAAAATTTTGAGAACTGATGTCCATGTGTTAGAGAGCAATCCCCATGTCCCTTCAACTCTTGAACCTAACCAACGGATCAGAGATTTTATTCCCTGGCTTTTGCTGACAGTTTCTGGGGACCCAGATGAGACAAAGTAGTGACCAGACCAGAGGAACTGTTGGCCCTGCAGTGGGTACCAAAGGAATTTTGGGAAGATCTTCCAATTCCCTGGTCTGGAGAGTTCTCCACGCCTTCTCTTCTGGGAAAAAGAACAGGACATTATTTAGGGTGCTTGATTTTAAGGTATTTTGCCTGTACATAATGCACACCAATGGGAAGGACGCAGTGTGAGGCTGAGAGGTTTCTGTCATGGTTTGTGGGCTTGGGTAAGATTGGGAGATATTTATGGGACCCCCATAAAATCTTGGCTTTGGGAAAGGTTGGGAAAGGAGTTAAAAGGTGGTTTTGTCTGAAGTGTTAAACATGGGAGCGGGTATATCTTCACAATTCCCAAGACAAGAGATCACAGAAAGCTGCCCTGCAGGTTATATTTTAAGGAACAGAAAAAGAGATCGAGGGTAAGGGGTTTCTTTCCTGGAGGGACGGGCTGTTGTTCACTTGTAGGAGCCCTGCACTGAAATTGCCAGTCTGACTCACAAATTTGAATACGGACAAAGGTGCCAGGACAGAAAGCTCTTGCTGCCCATGGAGTGCCCAGGGTGGCCCACCAACTGCACTTAACACCCAAAGGTTGTGGGCATTCTTTCCTGGGGGAAAGGGCTGTCGTTCCCTTGTGGAAACCCCACGCTGAAATTGCCAGTCCGACTCCCAAAACTGAATACAGATGAAGATTCCTCCTGGACAAAAGCTTCCAGGACAGAAAGGTCTTGCTGTCCATGGAGTGCCTAGGGTGGCCCACCAGCTGCACCTGAGAGACTGAGGCTATGGGCTCTATTTCCTGGGGGAAAGGGCTGTCGTTCGCTTTTTGGAGGCCTGCTCTGAAATT